AAGAAGGACCCAAAAGAGTTAGCAAAATCCAGATCCTGCAGAGTGGAGGCAGGCGCCATCCTCCTCCTCCGAAGTTAAGAAGGATGGAAGCCCCTGACCCTCTCTACTAGAGGATCTTTTTTGGCCTTTGTCAGGTAATTACAGATCCTTGGGGGTTCCTACAAGGGTTTTAGTGTACCGTGTGGGTGTTTAGCAAAGCCCCATTCAAAAGAGGAGTCCGTGGGATGGCGGATGGTCCTCCTGATTTGGAAAGGGGCTTCCCTAAGAAGGAAATGGTGGGCAGAAGTTCATCCGGATTGCGGCCGTGTGCCCTTTCCCCCCTCCAAGGGTCACCGGACACATCATCCCCCCCTTCCAATTTCCCCAAAAAGTCTGCTAAAAAAAAAAAGTTCTGGATAATGACATCATAGGCAAACAAGGCTGCTTCCTATCTGTCTGGAGATTGTATGCAGAAATATTAATGTGAGAGGTGGGAGGCAAAAAGAAACAAAAAACAACAACAACAAAAAAAAAACCCAATCCAACCACACACACACACTCCCACACCCACACCCCCAAAACAAACGCACACCATCTTCTTCTGGTTCCCCTCCCCTCCTTGATCTCTCTCTCTCTCTCTCTTGTTTCATGGACTTAAAGCTTAAGGGTAAAGGGACACACTCACTCACACTCACACACACACACACACAGAGAGAGAGAGAGACACGAGGCTGGCGCTTCCAACCCTGGTTCCTTCAGCGATTCCCTATTTCAAATAAAAGGATTTAAGTTGACGTCTGACCACGTGAGCACATAATACAGCGCATTATTGTGGCATTTGGAATGGAGACCCGGACTGGCTTCGCCTGCGATTCCGCTTTCCCCGTTTCTCTCCAGAGCTAGGAACTGCTTCCTATTCTCCGCCAGCGCCCCCCATCTCAGCCCCTCTTTTCCCTCCGACCCTCGGGAAGAGCTCAGAGGACCCTCGGATCCTGATGGAAAGGTTGTTATTGCCCAGCTCTTAGGACGGAATGCTGCCTTAAAAATAAAACATTAAAAAAAAA